TCCTGCTTTTCCATACCAATTAACCTTGACTGTTAGGCAGAAACCTCTGCTCCCTGCATGGGAACAATTCCAAGAGCTATCAAGAAGAAGGGATCAGGCTAGCTGTTGAACAACAGGCCATCTAACATGCCCTACTTAACACCTAACACATTTCCAAAGAAAATGAAATCCCTAGACTCTACAGTCTTACATAGTCCTTGTTGAATGTAAATACCACCGGACATATCATGTGTCTGTCATACTCACTGCAACCTGCAGAAGGCTCTTACAAGTAATCAGAATTGCACTTTCCTTACAGTCCTGTTCCCTCCTTCCACAATGCAGAGACCCCAGTCCCACTCCATATCCTTAAGAATGTATTTTACTATCTACTCTTTGCTGTGTTAAGAGTAGCTTAGCTTCCTTAACCCTTTTATAAAAGCCAGGACAGATCAGCATTGGCCAAGAAACACTAACATCACTCACACGTAACTGAAATAGAATGCAACAGCTGATTAACAACTGAACAGGAACAGCACAGGAAGCAAAGGACCTGAATCCAATCCCCAGAAAGAATGTTAATGGAGAATAAAAATACCCAGGGGAGATTTTGACCAGGAAATGAACGCTAGTTTTCTAATGTATATAAAAGCATAGAACCACCTTTAATGGCTGCATCTGAAATTGCAGCTCAGCAAAAGGGCATTTGCCAAGTTACCTTTAGCACTGACAGCTACATCGGGGGCCAACGATGGCTTCTCACACCGAAATGCTGACACACAAGAAGCCCGTTTAGTTTGCTCAGTGATTCTGTTAGCTTGATCTCTTCGGTGTGTTCAGTGATCCTTTCAACTCTCACAAGTTGGTTTAGGCTGCTAACTTCCCGAGTCTCTTCATCTTTGCACTTCGGCTTTCATGTCCTTCTCCACTTTGTTTTCTTACCTGTGTTCTTTTAAGTCTTCCATGGGAAGACTTTTGGAGTATGTTTCTCAGATATTTAAAGAGATGTATACCAGGCCATTAGAAACCAACTGACAGAGATTAGAAGAACTCTCAAAAGTTCCTGAAAATAACTGTCTGGGCCCTGCTAGACAAAGCAAATCTTGATACTCTAACAACATGTATCTGGCAAAAATCTGGTAGATCACATTAGGGAAATTTGGAAGCCATGGATTAAACATTCTCAAACACAAGCTACAGAATGGCTACAGCAAGCAAACGTTTGAAGAGAAGTGAAGGAGGGAGTGGGTGAACATTTCTATAGAAAATCAACATGCAGGGAATTCCTTTCCCAGACCTCTGTCAGCTCCTGAGCTGTGTAGGAGGGGAAGAAAAGGAGAAGCAACAACAGAAAAATCATATATTACCTTCCAAGAGCATAAAATCAAAAGACATTTAATTAGGACAAGCTAGGAACAGCTTGAATTCTTCAACTACTGAGAAGTGGACTCACAGCCCCTGTAAGTATTCCCTAAGTCTTATACAACCCTCAGCAATTTATATCAGCAGTCCTCTTTGATTTCAGAAGTTCTAGGGAAACTACAGTCTCCAGGTCCTCAGTGCCAGGAACCGAATGTCACTGAGCTGTCCCTCTAGCAGAGAATATAGCAATGCTAGAGAATGCTCCATTACTGCGACCTACACACATGTCTCGATATGCTCTCCAAAAGAGCCTCTCTGCCTACAAGTCACAGGGGTGCACAGATGGCTAAAACACTATACACTATCTACACAGCCGTACAATGGAGCGAAGCACATTATTTACAAAGGACAGATGAACAAGTTGTTGCAGTGACCCAGCCCACAGCGCACCTGCAATGTTGAGGAGGCATTAAGTCCAGCCTTGATGCTTGCAGGTGCTGGCAAAAGCAAATTTCAAGAACTGAAACAGCTGCTTACAGCAGCCAGCTTTATTCTGAAATGCTATCACTACAACTGCACTTGTGGAGTAATTCACATGCCAGTTTTGTTCCCATAAAGCCTTCATTCGCAAGCAGAAAACAAGATGTATTGACTAGATTTATCCTTTTCAACAAGAAAGAGAACTGGCATCTACAGTACTTACATGGTAACTTCATCCTTGGCCATGAGTTTATATGTGCAGAAGTCACCATACATACTCAGGGGAGACAGTGACTGGGAAACAGCATCAAAATTGGGTGAAATTTCTCTAAAGCTCTGCCTAGCTGTAGAAAAACACAGCTCAAACCTGCTCAGCCATCTCAATCTTTTGAAACATGAAACATTTGTAAAGGTTTTGAGATGCTGCTTTTGCTGCATACACAGCATGCTAACCAGGTCTGCAGGTGCTTTTATTGGCAGGCTGAGGAGGAACCATAAGATAACGCTTCAA